GTTTGTTGTGTCTCATGTCTACATGTGTCACTCGTTCCGTAATTCCTTGCAGGATAACAGGATGCTGAACATGTGCTTGAGGCATGCAGCAATACGCTGACCTAAACGGCAATTTGTCATGTGCCCTGTGCCTGACGCACTAAATCTGCATTCGATGCCAGGTCTCATTGACCGCAGTGACATTCTGACGCGCTTCTACGTCAGGTGCTCGGTGTTTCTTCCCACCCCCCAGTCCAGCTGTAAACTTCATGCGTGATTGCGCAGATTGTTGTATGTCAGCAGTCAATCATCTCAGTGTGCCTTTCGCTAGTACCGGCTTGTATCCAGATGTTATGCACTAGTCACTAGGCCCTGTTCGTTGGGAGGACGCTCTGAAGCACACTTTTTGCTATGCATGCGCACTGTAAACAAAAGCGAGATAACATCTACAGCCGTTCGTTGTAGCAGGGGTCGCCAAACATTTAGTGCTCCAGACACCGCAAGCATGTGGAGCCGAGCGACCAGACTGCTCCAGCAAGCACAGCAAGGACCGTTCGCTGAGCTCCGTGACTCATGGGACGCTCATCCACTGCCTGTTTGGGGCATCCCATGCTCAGCTGGCGTTCGTCCACAGCTTGTGTGATGATCATAAGCGGCCGGCTTGATGCTTGGCGGTGCAATTGATGCTCCGGCACTTTGAAGTGCTCATGTCCAGCTGGTCTGATTCTGCTTCGCTCATCTCATACGCATCCGCTTCCTTGTCTGACACTCTCTACGCTGATTCCATGCTCCAACTGGTTAACACTTCTCTGTAGCTTATGTGATGAATGGGTTTGCGTCTCGAAATGCGTCTTCCAGCCTCAACCGTAACGTGGCTCGTCCGGTGGTTTCCTTGGTTTGCGATCATCGGACGGATCACCTGGCACATCCGGCGAGTCATCGAGCTGAAGGGGCCCTGTTCTGTTGTGTTTTGTGGGGGTCGGACACGGCGAGGAACAAGACAACGAAGTGGCGTCCTTTCTCCGGAGTCTCTTCCCAAGTCGAGCAAACAGATACCTCGTCGTTACTACACACGAGCCGCTTGATGGATCTCAAGTTGCAGAATACACAGGAGGCACAGGAGGCAAGTACCCTTACTCACCAAGGGATGTGATAGTAACAGGCTTGCCTCGGTCAGTAAATGTAAAAGAACAGCGTCGCATCCCTGAATGCAAGGCACTGTCTGCAGGAAATGTGCTTTTGTCAGGTATTCCTGCCTTTCTCCGCAGTTGGAAGCAGCATTGTACTTCCAAGCCAGGTCCACAGCTCAAGAAGCCGAAGAAGACTCCAGGCCTCTTAGACTGCTTCGTGCAAGAGTTTCTGGATGGAAGAAGACAGAGTGGTGATGCTATACGGGCCTTTGATTGCCTCACTGCGACTTCGGACCGGGTCGACATGAAGTGGATTCTTTGCCATGCTGCACAGAAGTGCTCGTATCTGAATCAGCTGGAGTTTGCGGATTGGATCAACAGGCTTCAGATGGATGCATCCGACCCTCTGTCTGGCAAAGGCTGGGAATTGCTAGTTGTATTTGCCGTGCTGCAGTGGTGGGCAGGGCAAGACATTCCTCCGACCCTCCCTTCGTGGCAGTCCTGAATCCACTATGCTCAACACTTGAGGTCTTCGACTGCATCCTCCTTTATCAGAGAAGGAAACTCAGTGTGCTGCAGGTCCGAGGTTTCCAACAGAAGGCTGGGCATATCTACCCCCACCGAGATGCCCCCGAGCACTTAGAATGTGTGTGGATGCAAAGCAACGCCGCGGAGCAAAGGTGCAGCGCGGGATCTCTTTCCGAAAGAACTTGACAGATGAGAGAGCTGGAGCTGCGTGGTCAAAAAGCTTGCATGGCGAAGCGCTTCCCTGGTGTTTGAAGCACTTGAACAATCGAAGCAGGGGATCTAGCAAAGTTTGAGAAGGAATGGATTCAGGGCTCACGGCCGTTTTCTCAACGCTTCCCAAACCAAGAACCCCTTTTCTATGCAGGATGTACTGCCCTAAGCACTCGTGATATTGGCAATGCATGTTCATGTTCATGTAAGGTCGCCCCTCAAAGCCGAAGCTTGCAAACTTTCAACACCTCACGCCAAGACCCAGCCTGAGGCCAAAGATTTCGGA